GGAGGGAAGTGAGAGCCAGTGTCAGTGAGGGCGAGGAGGGCTGAGGGGTCGCTGTGGAGAGGAGGCTGAAGGAGCTAGGGGTGGGGATCCCTATGGGGAAGGGGGGCAATGGGACCCTGGGTAGGATCCCTGGAGTGGGGGTCACTCGGAGTAGGGGGAGTCCTTGTGGGGAAGGCGAATGGGGTGTCCCTGTAGCTCAGGATTTGCGGCAGGGGTTCTGTGGGACCGGCGTTCTCTTAGCTTGGGATCTGGGTTTCACCCGGGGTAGGGGCAGCGCAGTTACCAGAGGGGGGCTGGTTTCACCTTGGCCCAGGGTCTGTTGCTGACCTTGGGCAAAGGGGGTATTTGCCCCTCGGATAAGCAGCCATGGGGGTGACCCAGACAGGGGATTTGCTGTGAGTGAGAGACGGGCGGAGAGCTGGTGCCAACTATCAAAGATACTTAAAACCAAATATTAGCACAAAGCACCCGTATGAAATCACTGGGTTGAATGAAAACAACCAGGAAAAATGAGGTTCAAATCTGCCTGGGCCTTCCCAGCTCTTCACCCCCTGCAGAGCAAGGGGGGTGTTTAGAGGGGATAGTAATGGGGTTAAACACCCCCAAATCCCTAGGATCACCCCCCCAATCCATGTCTATCCCTGCAGGAGTTCTCACTGCAGTTAAGGCGGCAAAGCAGTTTCCAGTATAATATATCTCACTTATTTCCTGGTGCGAATCATGCGGCAGCAGGAGAGAGGCAGTGAAAATGCTGTGTCACGGCTGTAGGAGGGAGCGGGCCCTGCACCAGGGGGTGGGACCGCCTAGCACAAAGACCTGGTGACTTCAGGGGCTGAAATGACTCATGGGCCTCGCTGTCTGCCTCCTGTTACCACCCTGGAGGGGAGCGCCTGATCCTTTCAGGGGGTTATTAGGGCATCAGGCCTGGGATCTGCGCTAACGCAACTAGGGCTTTCCATCTAAAATGGCCGCTGCAGACAGACCTGAAGGGTGGGATCCGCCTCCCCACCATGTGTGGCACTAACTCCCCGTTCTGAGATCACTGATTCCCCCTTCCCCCCCCACGCCACCACCTTCCCTTCTGGGGGGTCAGCTCTGGACCGAGGTGTGAGAGGGGAATTTCCATCTCACTGAATCAGGGAGGATGAAATGTGGAGAGACAGGGAGGGGCGGGGACGGACGGGCAGAGAAGAGGGAGGGAGCCCACGCCCGCCTTGAGGAAAAGGGGGGTGAAAAACCACCAGACGCCCCCTCAAGTTACCCCGTAATCGTTCTCCTTTCCCCGCCCTCCGGAGAGCTTTCGGGAGGAGATTTGCTGCCTATATTAAAGGGGAGGCGGAAGGAGGGGGGAGCTGCCAAGATGGCGGCTGCCTGCACCTTGGAGACAGCCTGACAACAGAGGGGAGAGAGAGAACGAAACATGTTTCTAGGCCGAAACCCTTTAGTTCCATCGGTGTTCCTTTGTGTTTTGGGAGAGCCCTGTTCACTTACCTTTGCTAGTCACTTTGGGGGGGGTTTCAGAATAGCAGCCGTGTTAGTCTGTATCCGCAAAAAGAACAGGAGTCCTTGTGGCACCTTAGAGACTAACAAATTTATTTGCGGGGGGATGACTCTAGAAACCCCACATCTGCCCCCTGTGTGGGGACGTTTAACCCTTTTGGGGAGCCAAGCCCGCTCCCTAACGGGGTTCCGTGTCCCTGAGCTGAGCTGGTCCTACGGTGTGAAAGGTGCTGTAGCATAAGGTGGTGGTCGTTGTGTGTGTGGGGGGGAATGGCGCCATTAGCATCCATGCTGTGGGGGGCTCAGCTCAGAAGGGGTGTCGGGTGTGGAGACAGGAATTCCTGTGGGGTTTCTGTTTGCGTTCTGTGGTACACGGGAACGGTGGTGGTGTCTGTGCTCGGGGGGCGGGGGGGGGCGTTGTAGGCGAGGGTTGCCGTGAGTGCCGGGCGGGAGGTGGAGGTGGTAGTGCCACAGGGGGATTGGAGTAGTTTTCTGACAGTATTTTTGGTGACGTCCGTGTTTTATCGGGGTTTGGTGGGATTGAAGGGGACGGTGCTATTGACATCTGTGCTGATGGAGAGGCTGGAGAGGGGTTGGCGTGAAGGCAGGATGGGGGAGGGAGTTAAATGTTAGCATTGTGGGGAGGATAGGGATGCGTTTCTGGCGGGAATTTGGGTACCCCCATTTCTGCGGGGGATTAACTGCGTATGTGGGGTATGGCTGGGATTGGAGGGGATGATGCTGTTGACTTGCGTTGTGGGGGCTGGAGAGGGGTTGACGTGAGTGAGGAGGGTTGTGTGAGAATGGGCGGGGGCATAGGGATGCGTTTCTGGTGGGAAGTTGGGTACCCCCATGTTTGGGGGGGATTAACTGCGTATGTGGGGTACGGCTGGGATTAGAGGGGACGGTGCTGTTGACATCTGTGCTGATGGAGAGGCTGGAGAGGGGTTGGCGTGAGGGCAGGATGGGGGAGGGAGTTAGATGTTAGCATTGTGGGGAGGATAGGGATGCGTTTCTGGTGGGAAGTTGGGTACCCCCATGTTTGGGGGGGATTAACTGTGTCTGTGCCGATGGGGTTGGTATGAGAGCAGGATGGGGGGGAGATGTTGGCATTGTGGGGGGCATAGGGATGCGTTTCTGGCGGGATTTCGGGTACCCATGTTTGGGGTATGGCTGGGATTGGAGGGGACGGTGCTGTTGACGTCTGTGCCGATGGGGTTGGTATGAGAGCAGGATGGGGGGAGATGTTGGCATTGTGGGGGGCATAGGGATGCGTTTCTGGCGGGATTTCGGGTACCCATGTTTGGGGTACGGCTGGGATGGGGGGACGGTGGTGTTAGGGTCTGAGCAGAGGCTGGACTGAGCGCCAGGAGTTGGCACAAGTGCCAGGTTAGTTTTGGGGGGCGACCAGGCAGGTTTCTGGCAGGTCGGTGGCGTCTCTTGCGGCGAGGGGCGCTGGGGATGTCCGTGTCTGGGCCCAGGCTGGGGGGTGGCGTGAGTTGGGGGGCACTTTGTGACAGGACTTTTGGAGCGGTTCGCTGTGCCTGTGGGGCGCACTGGCGGCAGCGCGGGGGCCTTGCAGGCAGTGGGGCGGCGCAGGGGCCGTCTGAAGGGAGCAGCCGCTTTATTGTCCGCCCTCTTCCCTGCTGCAGCTCAAAATGGCGCTTCCCTCCTCTCCCCCTCCCCCGCGGGGAGCAGAACAACAACATCCAACTGCCAGTTCCAACGGTCGCCCCGCCCCCACGTGACTCGGCAGCCAGTTAGTCTGCAACGAATGGCAGCGCTGGCCAATGGCAGCGCGCGCCGCCTAGGCCGGCGGCTCGAGCGCCTCACGAGGGGGCGGGGAAGAGGGGGTATGTGACTGATGGTTATGGAGGCCCATCAGAACGCGGCGTCTGGCAAGCTTCCGCCCAATGAGCCGGCGAAGGGGCGAGCCCGGATGGCGGGGTGATGTCACATCTGTCGCCATCCAATCAGAGGTAAGCCGCTGTCTATATAAGGCCGACCGGGGACAGACCGAGAGGCGCCATTTCGCCGAAGCGGAGGAAGGAGCTGGTCGAGGCCTGGTCTGTGAAGGGGGCGGACTCAATCCGGATCCATCCTCCGCCGGGCAGCCCCCAACCCCCGCCTCCGCTTTACCGACGGGCTCGCAGGACCTCCCCGGCTTCCGTAGAGACCCCTGCCTGCGGCCTCGAGGGCCCTCGCAGAACGCCCCATCCCCCTGGCGGCCAAGATGGAGCCGGGCCAGTGATCCCAGTACAATCCAGTGCCATCCGCCTCCCTGACGGGGACCATCCTTCCGGGGACCGGCCTCTACGGGCAGAGGAGGCGCCGGGGGACCCAGCGAGCCCTATATTGACCGGAGCCCGGCAGGATTTGGAGCCCGTCGGGGGCTCCGAAGAGGGGGCCCCCAGCCCTGCATCCCCCCGCCCTTCAGCCGCCGCCATTTTCTTTGCTTCCATTCATGTAAACCCGGTGAATGGTGCTGGGGTCCCCGCGCGCCTCGCTGGAGACCATCGGCCCCGCCTCTGTGCATGGGCCCGGCCCCCGGCCGCTGCTAGCCTGAGCCCCTGCGCCTGGTTCTAGCCCGCTGGCGGGGAGGGGAGGGGGTGCCAGGCTCGTCCCCCTCCCCTAGCGCCCCCCCCCCCCGGTGTGTTGGGGGGAGCCGCCCGCCCCCCTGGCCGTCCTCCGCCGGTGATGCTCGGCAGCGGGCAGCCCTGCACCCCGCGGCGCGGGAACAGCATGTGTCACTAGCGCGCCTCCCCCGCATCCTGGCAAAGTGGGGGGGTCAGCCGAGGCCCCAGCGTCTGGAGGAGGAGGAGGTGGACTCTTGGGGGAGAGACCCTGGAAAGCAGCCGCTGCAGGCATGTTGCAGAATGTGAATCCCCACAGCAAGTAGGTGCCCGGCTCGCTCCTGGGGGGGGG